GGGTCTCGCTCTTGCTCAGGCTGGTTTCGAACTCCTGAGCTCAAACAATCCGCCCGCCTCGGCCTCCCAGAGTGTTAGGATTACAGGCATGAGCCACGGCGCCCGGCCTGTATTTGAAACTTTTATGAAACAAATTTAAATGACCTCAGCTCTTCTAAAAACAATTTAGCAGGCAGGCACATAAAATATGTAAACCCTCCTCTACTAACTATGGGAAACGTAAAAATTCAAAATATACTTCTATTTCAAACAGGTCTCATGCTTTGGCTTTAAACAACACTGTGGAGTAGAAGGAAGACAGACTGGGAGATGGGACACCTTCCCTCTGGTCCCAGAGCTGTCAAGAAGTGCATATGTGAGCATGCTGCCTAACTTTCCTGTCTGTGCTACTAAATAGCAAGCTCAAAATCAAACCTAGATGCTCTTATTCCCGGCCCTGTGCTCCCTCCAGGAGGCCATTTTTTCCTCCTGTAATTATACCTAAGATTCAGAAGACATCGTCCTATTAGCACCATTAAAACTACCTAGTACATGGTAGAGACCCACAATAAATGTTTAAACATACAATTATATTCTACTACAATAAAGAAAAATTACTTATGCTATAAAAACTTAAAATAATCATGCTAGAATAATTGGAAAACCAGTAGGAAAGTTACACTTACCTTTTTAGCTGTATAGCCACCTCCAACAGCAGATCCTAGTATGAGATACCGAAGTTTTAAGAGCCTTGCAGCTAATCTTGCTGGCCAAAAATTCCTGCGGGGTTGGTAGCCATATTTAATTGGAGAAAGTTTTAGTTTACGTAAAGGAAGGTTAGTTAGAGAAGAGAACTGCTGAAATGATGTCCTTAATTGGAATCTCTGAAGCTTTAAGGTTGGGTGACGTGAATGATAAATACTTCGTGAAACCAGATGCAGTTTTTGTAGTGGTAAGTTTCCTTTTATTCCAGGGCTATGTTTCACTAATGATTGGCAGACCTCACTGAAAGAAAAATGAACATGGGAGAAAGATCAGATAGGGTAATAATACAAAGGAAATTACATAAAAAGAACAATATACTAAAAGAAACACATACACACATGATAAACCACATGTCATACAATAGTTCACATTTACTAACCACTTATAATAACTTGCCCAAGTACACACCGAAAGAAGGAATAAAGGCAAGATTCAAACTCAGGCAGTGGGACTCCAGAGCCTGCACTCTAACATGTGGGCTATAATCCTGTTCCAAAGAATTGAAACTGAAGAGAGAAAAGGTAAGGACTTATTTTATTCACTGCTATTCACTGTAAGTAAAAGTTGAAACAAAAAATGCATACAAACTTTTGCTTTCAAGCACAAAAATTCTAGCAGCTTAGAAGACCTATTCTTTGCTCCCTCATCTATGGCTCCCAACCCTGAGATAGCCCAGGGATGGAAATTAAGGAAATTGATCAATTTCACCTCAGGCACCTGGCTCCCCAGAAAAATGAAAGTAGGAAAGAAGCTCAAAACAGAGAATCTAAATGTGTATGTTAACTGTCCAAGCTCTACCTTCTCCTTCCTGCAGAGAATGAAAGATTACCAACAACCACCATAGGGCCTCATCTTATTCAACACACATTTGTAGTTGCTTACTATGGCTAGGCCTGATTCTAAGTAGTTTTAAAATATTAATTTGTTTAATTACATGGGACTGAAAACTTGTTAAGAAAAAGAAATCAAGGAACACAGAAACAATACTTTGAAGGATGGTGGGAGAAAGGGGTTATCTCTTGTATTCCTTTGGAGTACCAGATGTAACAGGAGATGTTTTTATAAATGCTACTGTTACTCTCAGAAGAGACCCAGGAAGGTAAGTATCCTCATTTTACAAATTTATTTTTTTAAAGCTATGTTTTGTCTACGGTAGAATGACCATCACATGGTAGAAGAGGGATTAAAACTAAGATCAGCCTGAAAGTAAAGCCCAAATTCTTTCCACAGGAGACACTAGGGCAAGGAGTATGGGAAGCAGCAGATGCATAAATATATGTGGTCCTAGATAGGAGGCTGAGGTGACATTATGGAGTACCCACCACCTCCTATGGAACCCTCAGGATGACATTGGGCCTTGCTCTGATTCAAAACTCTACAGGAATCCTCCAACTCAGGAAACCTGAGGGAAATAGGATTTAACAGTGGGTGAAAATACATATTGTAGGATTAGGCACACTGCTTATTTGTAATTCTACATGTAAATGTTACTTCTAGTCACAAAAATATTTATAATCTCTTTAGAAGTTGGTAAACATTCTCTACTTTTTTTTTTAAAAGCTCTACCTCCAAGATAAATCAGCATGTCCACCATCTTATAAAAAGTCCCTATCTTCTTTTATTAACCAAGAGATTAAATTCTCCTGATCTCAAACTAGCATATATAAAAAGCATAATTCTCATTTTAGCTTCAAAATTGCCTCCACCCCAGCAAGCATACATACATGGAAATTAATGTAATACTACAAAAAGTATTTCCATGTCAAAGAACAGTAGAGACAGTTAAGCAGCCCAAGAGTTCAGAGGAAAGTTAATGATCCTTAGGAGTTGAGGTGATCAGTGAAAATTTCCCAGAAAAAGTAAAATTTAGAAGTGGAAAGTGAAGAGTCAAAAAAGAGAAAAGAAATAGCAGATAAGGAGAAGACCATAGATATGAGACAATGAAAGGTCAAGAGACCTAAGAAGCTGGCATAAAAGATTCAAAGAAGGAGGTAAAATTGGAGAAGAGGTCTCAGGACAAATGACAGAGCCACTGCATATTAGGCTGAGTTTGCACTTTTTTTTTCATAGGCAACAGGAGTCGCTCAAAGTTTCTGAGTAGAATAAGACTAACTAAACAGTAGTTAAAGAAGATATTAAAGGCAACGTTAGGTAAAAGTAGATCAAAAGGGGAACAAAAAGGTGATCTTATTTCAGTTCAGCTGCCCAGATACAAGAAAGGGTCTAAAGTGAGGTGGCAGCAGTGAGCCAGGAAAGGACAAGGGGGACACCAGAAAGGCAGGCTAGGCACAAGAAGAAGAGGAGAGTCACTAATAATCACTAGGTTGTTCCTGGGGTGACCAATGTTATCACTTACAGAGAGAAAAAACTCAAGACACAAAATCAACTAGGGAAATGGCTCATGGTCCCATAACGTTTAGCTCAGACTTCTCTCAACTATATCCCTACATCTACTTAGTCTTTTGAGTCAGATGAACTTTGGTTCCAAATCAGTTTCAGTGCTTACTTGCTGTGCAATCAAGGTCAAATTACCAATGACCCAAAGCCTCAGTTTCTTAAGCTGTTAAAATGGCACAATAGCTGTATTGGAGAGTCATTATCAATAATCACTAATTTAAGTATCTGACTCTCTGATCCTTCTCTCTTCTTACTTAGTAAGTCTCTTCCTTATCTCTTCACCCACGTAGCCACCTTAGACTCTCTGGTTCATCATATCAATAACTCTTCTGCAAATACTCTAGACTCCCTTGCCCTCTGACTTTTTGTTTCACTTGTCCAGTAAAATACAAACTCTGGATGAACTTACTATTGCTTTTCTCTCTGCCTGTACCCAGGGAAATGAAGCACTACTGGAGAAAAATCACACCCAACTGGACAGACATCTAAACAGGGCCCTCAAAACTGCCTGACAGTCCTACTTCATTTGTCTTATCAATTCTGTCTTCCACTCTCTGTTAGGACTATTTCTGACATCTTCCACTCTCCTTTAATCTCCTATTTCTCTTTTGACCTCCCCCAACTCTCAATAGATGACCTTGCTCTCTACTTCACAGAGAAAATGGAAGCCATCAGAAGGAAACATGTTCAACTTTCTCATATGAGAACTGTTCACCTACTGTATCTGCACCCATCCTCTTCTTCCCCACATAAGATTACAGCAAGTGCTCCTCCTCCTTAAAAAAGGTGAATCCATGTGGAATTGTCTCTCCTCTTGCCCTTTCAGAAATTGAAAGTCAAGTCTCTCTCATCTTACAGGAGAAAAAAAAAACATCTCATTTCCCTGCTCTAGCTACTTTATTAAAAGCCAAACCAACCTGATTTCCATTTCTATTATTTCAGTAAAACAGCTCTTACTGAGAGCACCAAAGTCTTCCAATAGGCATTTTTTTTCAGTTCTGGTTTTATCTGACCTCTCAGCAATAGCTGACAATGTTGACACCTCCTCACTGTTGGAACTTCCTCTTCCCTTAGCAGTCTCTAGTTTTACTCCTACCTCACTGTCCACTCCTTTTCAGATTCATCTTCAACTACCTTTTAAATGTTGAGAGTTCATTAAGGCTTAGACCTAACCTGTTTCTCTTCCCACTCTCCCTAGAAAGGCTTATCTATACCGTTTCCTCCATGGCCATCTACATACTCATGTTTCTCAAGTTTATGTCTAACACAAACAGTTAAGTTTCAGACCCTTGTATCCAATTGCCTATTCAACATCAGCACTTAGATATCAAAAAGGGACTTCAAATTCAAGATGTTCAAAGCCATCATGATCTCTTCTCCCCCTCCCACCAAAACCCTAACCCTCCTGCAATATTCCCTATCTCAGGAAATGGTATAAGCAGCTATCCAGTTACTTAAGCCACAGATTTGGGGATCATTCTTGATACCTTCCTCATCCTCAACCATCACCAGAACACTCTTCTGAATGCAAACCTGATCAATGTCACTCATCTGCATCAATTTCTTAAATGGCTCCTCTTGCATTTAGAATAAAATCCAAACTCCTGGTCCATAAAGCCCTGCATAGTCTGGTTCCTACCTCTCTCTCACTTGTCTCAGAGCTCCTCCCTGACTAGTTTTCACCCAAATTCCCAATTGTGCCACCTCAAAGGCCGTGCCACCCAATATTCTTGGATAGACTCTTCTACTTACTTAACTCCTGCTACTGCTCACAGTCAGTTTCATCTCAAGCAGTCCCTCCTCTCCCTGAATCTTCATTATAATGCAAGTCCGCGTACTAGTTCTTGGCTCTCTGTACTTTTTCTTCACAATCCTTGTAAATTTGTATTGTATAACAGTGTAGCTATTGGATTAATACTCATCCAGTAAACTACAATCTTCATAAGTCCAGGGTCCTATGTGTTTTGCTTACTGTTGTATTTCCAAGGTCTAGCCCAGTGCCTCACAAATGATAGACACCCAATAAATCTGTTGAATGAACATGTTATTAGGAGAACTAAAATGCAAAAAACAGGTGAAAGAACCTGGCAGTGGCCAGCACGAAGTGCTCAATAAATGTTATTTTAATATTAATTTGCACTAACTTAAACTAATGTATAAATGAATAACCCTTTAATCTTCAAAAAGTTATTTACATTTTTTAGAAATAAGTTAATCCCCAAATATATCCCATTAGATGAATTCCAGGACTGAGTTCATCCCTAAGATGTTTTTGCTTTTCATTATTTCCTTCCTCTTGTACACACAAATCCCTAAAATTCCTATTTCCATAATGGCAGCAGCAATAACTATGGGTGGGGGACAGGGACAAGGATGGGGAGTATAGTATCCAGTATTTCAGGTAACTACATGTAAAATGTTCTTCAATTAGTCCCCTGGAAGAGATAATTGCCTCAAAGCAAAATCCTAGTACTTCTTAGAAATGCATCTTCAGAATTACTTCTAGGTCATTCCAGTTAAAGAAGATACTCTACAAGATCAATGCTCATACAGGACAGTATTATTTTTCACAAAAAGGTCCTCTTGAGATACAGGAAAGAGTGAAAAGACAAGAAGAAACTGAGATTTACTGACATGCCATCTAAGGAAAGGCTGCTTTGGTCACCTTCCACCCCATTCCAATCCAGCTGAATGTTAACAGCAGCAACTGCCCCATGTTGAGCAATCTGCCAGGGAAGAACTAAAGCTCCCAAGTGTGTATGGGGAAGGGGGACTTCCCAGAGTGAACGTTCTCAACAATACTGGCATTTGTAGCAAGCTCAGATTATCTGCCCACTCCTTAAAAGCCCTAAAATGAGGCTTGCTAAATGAAACATCATAACCTTAAACAGTTTGCTAAATCAGCCCTTTCTTTCAAGGGTAACCCACACAAGGCATCTACATCAATCATTAGTACTTCACGTTTAAATATGACTAAAAGACCAGTTTTTTTATAGAAAACCACCAACTCTTAAGATGAAAACCAAGATAAATAACATCATCAATCTTGGAAAAAGCAGAGATATGAAATGCTAAGTAGTATTCTCAGGAGGATTCCTGAAATATTACAGATATAAAATGAATGCATGTTGTTATTCAAAAATAGCAATGGAAGAATAGAAAGTTTATAGAATTAAACATGTCTTTAAGAGTTTAATAAATGTTGAAAAGAAGTTCATGGAAATTAAAGTTACGATGGCCAATATATTATTTAAAAAAATCAACAGCTAGACCAGAAAAACAAATTAAGAAAATTCCCCAGAACGTAGAACATAAAGAAAAAAGGTGGAAAACATAAGAGATAAGTCAAGTGACACAGAGAAGTGCCATCCAAAGTGAGTGGGAGGATAGGGGAGAAATGCATCCCATAGGATGCACAAAATGATTCACTAAGATTGAAAAAGAAAGTACCAAAGCGTCTAGATGCAGTATTATTGTATCTTATCCTTTAAGATTATGTTACGGTAGACTTATCATGTAAATCACTGGTACAGAGACATATATAATTTAAAAGTGAGCGTGCATATATATATTGGGGTATGCTTTTTTTTTTTTTTTTAACAGATGAAGGGTACAGATCATATTTTGGAAATCATGGACAGAGGACCAATCTAAGAGGACCAATATTCGCCTGCTAGGTCTCTAGAAAGAAAAAGAACAGGAAAAATGAAAGGAAGAAAATAAAGAAGAAAAATTTCTTGGAAATAAAGAAAGGAATATTTGAAATGGAAAGGCCCACTGACTACCAAGCCAGATGAGTGGTAAAAGAAGAAAAAACAAAAAACCCACACCTGGACAAAGCCTTGAGAAATTTAGGATCAAGGGTAAAGATCCTAAAAGTTTCCATGAAGAGAAAAACAAAATACCTACAAACATGAAAAAAATCAGATTGTCATGAGAGTTCTCATCAGCAGCAAAGGAAGTGAGAAGAAAACGTAGCAATGCCTTCACAGTTCGGAAGGAAAAGGATTTTGAATATAAACTTCTACATTCAGTCAAAACTAAAAATCAAATGTGATGCAAAATCGGTCTCTCCCAGAAATCATCTACTCTCTTGTTCATTTACCATCTCTTTTAACCAATATACCATTTCCTAATATGTAATTCTTTCTTCATTAACTTTACACAAATATTTATTGCACCCAAATAAATGTTGGTCATTGGTCTTCTCACATGTCCATGATCATATACATACACACACACATACATGTATGTTCAAAAAAAGCTTATATTCCCATCTGTTAAAGAGTAGAAATTTAACTACACTCCTTCACAACATGCTAAGGAACCACAGTAAAAGACAAATTTCAGAGCTTGTGGCTTCTGACTTTCCACATCTCTACTTCTTCAGGTAGCTAAACTGTGCTATCAACATGAGACACTTTAAAGCCATGACTCTATGGAATCCACAGTAATTTTAGAAATAATTTAGCCCTGCAATATCCAATTGAATGAAGAAATAATACCAGTTATAAATCAATTGTTTTGAAACTCAATTTTTAAAGTTTTTCTACATATATTAAGTGCTCCAACAGAGTATGCTATTTCTGCAGTCCTTTTTTATTTACAGAAAATTAGATTCGTTCCCCCATTAAATATTGAGAAGCAGAAATACAAAGGTTGTAAATAACTTACTTTAATACCATGAGCTGTGAATTTACTCAGAAATTAAAATTGCAAGAGATTTAAAATAGTGCAATTATTTTACTTGACTAACAAAACACTGTAACTATTGTATGTCATCTAGTTCTGCATTTGGACCCCAGTTAACCTTTATAAAATAAATGGATTCCATTCCTTATAAATACTACAAATTATCTACACCATTTAAAAAGTTCTGAAAAAAACCAAAGACAGGTGTTCAGAGGTTGCGTTAATTCAGAAAAACCAAGTTTTCCCAGCCATGCTTGATGCATATTACTTCCAACAAATGTCCGCAACAATGAGTTAAGTCTGACGGCATTTAAGGGTATTAGAACAAAATTACATGTACGGAGATAAAATCGAATTTAATCTCATCAAAATGTACATATAACCCACAAAAATAAAAAGATTTCCATGATGTTCTACTTGGGATTAAACCAGGCCAGGGCAACAACGACAGTGTGATTAGAAAAGTGGTGCCACGTTTACCACTTTGCATCAGAAAGCAAGTCTCCTTCCCTGAACATTGAAAAAACGTGCTATTAAGAAGCCATCTCTCATCACCATCTCTGACACCGTGTGCGTCACTGCTCTAGTTCTGACTCTATCAGCGGGCTAGGGAAAGAGACAGAGGCCCCTTCACCCTGGAGAAGAGCCGAAGTACCTGCAGGTGCAATGTACACACGGCGTGGAGGTGGAAGAAGAGGACAGTGAGGGTTAAGAGAAACGCGGAAAGGGAGATTCGTAAACAGAGCCAAACCGGGCAGGGAGAGGACAGAAAAAAAGAAACAACCAGACACAGAGGTAACACCGAGAGCACAAGGGTGTAAAGGGCAGGGACAAAAGGACAATAAAGAAGGGCCAAGACTGAGAGGCGTCCAGAATCTTCGAGTTACATAGGAACAGGGACAAGGGCCCGTATTGAAAGCCAGCACCGCAGGTAAGCCCAGTGAGGACTCCAGTCACTATGGGTCCTCAAAAATATCCCGAAATTCTCCAATAGCCCCGGGCCTGGCCTGAGAGTTATCTGCACATTCTGGAGGTAGTGATGGAACAAGCCCATTCTCAAGCTGCCCGAGAAATAACGGGGCCAGGTCGGAGCCTGCACTTACCAGGCCACGGCGGCCCGACGTAGTCGCCACATCCCGCCGGCGGGGAAGTCACGCAAGTGCCGAGACGGCCACGCGGGAACCCCCGTGTCAGCCACAGTCCGGCTCCTGCTCCAGGAATGACCCAGGAAGAGGCTCTCTGCAACAAGGGCACAGAGCAGCCGCTGAGGCCCTCCCAATGGCGCATGGACTTCCGCAAGAGCCTACCAGGCACCCGTACTCAGTACGTCAATGAAACAACCACCCCACCCTTCCTAGGCGGGCAGCACAAATGGTCCGTGGAGTACTAGCGCATGCGCCCAGAGCCTCTGGAAGGAACATGCCTACTCCACCTCCTCCCGCCCCGCTCCGCCCCGCCCCGCTCTCATTGTTTCCGGGGTGGAGTTCGGAATTAGCCTTCCAGTTTAAACACTTGGAGAGGCGATGGGGCGAGAGTTTGGCGGGGACCAGCGAAGCGAAAGCTGGAATCCGGATTGATAAATGTTCACCGGTGGCGACCAATTTAATAAGATTTAGATATTGGGGGAGCATGGAGGAGTCTAGAGAGTGCAAAATGAATACAATAATAGAGTAATAAAAACTAATAGTTGCCCATTTGCTCCACTTCTTTGTTGGGTGTGAAAGGATATAAACAATCTTGGAAGACAGGAGGAAGGGTCATGGGTAGGTTAAGTGCCTTAGAATCTCTGCAGCTGCGGGTTTGGAATAAGCTTGCATAGTTTATAAAGGTGTCAAAAGTGATTTTGTTCATTCACTCTTTAACTGGCTTTCATCTGGCATTTAAGCCCAACAATTTGTTGATATGGTCCTTGTCGAGGTCTCCAACAATTCCATATTGCCTGTGGTCACTGAGCTCTCAGCAGCATTTAGCTCAGAATCTGCATAATCTATTTCCCTCTTTTGGCTTTCAGGACATCACATTCTCCTTTCTCTCCAGAGCTGCTCCTCCCCAGTCTCCTTGGAGAGTCCCAGATCTGAGACATCCTAGGTCCCTTCCCTTCTCTATCTACATTCTCTTCCTAGGTAATGTAAGTCAATTCCGTGGCTTTAAATATCCTTTTCCCCTTCCAACTCGATCGTTTTATGTTTTCTAAGGAAACTAGGGCCTATAAAAAGGAAGTGGCCCACCAAAGGTTATGAAGCCAATTTTTAGGGACTACAATCAAAGAGTCCTGTGCTCTTCACTTCAGGGACACTAAACACCCCATCCCCTACACAAACATACAAACCATAAAGGAAACTCCTTTTCCCGTAATTGTCAGAATTATAAGTCTGGATCCATCCACTCACAGCACCACCAAGTGTAGACCCAGCCATTGATAGTAAACTTCCCAAATACAGGACTCTGGGAATTTCTTTATTATATTTAACATGGTGACTATTTTAATGGCAGATCAAGATAGGAGCTTCCTGTACTGACCTATGCACACTGTACATCTTTCTAGAATTGTACAAAAAATGTCTTTGTTACTGTTACTTCCTAGTTGTTTTAGAAAAAAATAAGAGAAACCAAATAACAACTCTTTTCATGTGTGGGTTCACTTTACATTTTACGAAGCCCTTGTTTTGCAATTCCACATCTAGGCATTTATCCTACTGAATAATTCTCACATGTGCAAAGATGTACACATGATGACATTTATTTCCGTATTTCTACATTGTATGAAATAGCAGAAAATTGGAATCAACATAAATGTACATAGGAGCTAGTTAAATAAATTACATTCATGCTAGCCATGAAAGCCTATGAGTTAGAATTGTACATCCTGATAAAGAATAATCTCTAATATATACATAGTATTGCATGGAAAAAAGGAACAGATTATTGTATAATCAAACTGCCACCATTGGTCCAAATTCAGCCTGCAGACCTGTTTTGTTTGGCTTGCACAGTGTTGGCCTATCCAGTGTTTTAAAAATAATATTGGATTTGTTGTCAACATTTAAAAATCAAGAAATTCTACATTAAAAAATCATATTAAAATATCAGAAGGACTGTCAGCATCAGTCCTTAATTCTTACATTCAAAAAATTTCTTAGAGCCGGGAGCCAAGGAATGGTTCTGTCCTATAGACATTCATGTCTTCTCCTGTAGTTCACATTCCTTCCTAAAGTCTTCCTGAAACTGAACACATCAATTGCTATATATCATGAAGCTTGGGCTTTTACTTTTACTAGAAAAATCAAGCAGAAAGGGAACCACTACTTATATCAAAAGTGAGAAAATGGAAGACTGAGAGGGTCAGGTATTTCCAAAACAATGAGAAAGAGCATATTTTTTGTTGCTGTTGAAGAACAGCTATGCTAGTAAATTATGTGATGTTGAAAGAATACAATATAATACGGCATCATACAACAAGCACACCTGCATTACTCATTCATGTTACGTGCCTGACCCACGAAAGTATTTGAGTTGATAAACCCTAGTGAAGGTCAGGGTCAGGGAGGGACTTAAGGATGGTGGGTCATAAGTGGGAGGGAGACTTATTTTAAACGCTTTTATACTCTTATTTTGTTAATGTGTGTATTAGTTGCTTTTAAAAAATACATGTTAAAAATGTTTTTCTGATCCAGAAGTCATGAAATAACGTTACTATTTTAAACTAAATTTCTAGATTCAGCTGAGAATTGAGCAATCCATCAGGTAAAACTCAAAATATTTACCTTGACATGTAAAGTGAACTTTTTCAGAGTTACCTAATGAATCAGGAATCTTTAGAAAAGGAGCTAAGTAATAAGAGAGGTTAATGGAAATTGAAATATTTGCGTTTGTTTTCATAAGTTTTATATTTAACTTTTTACAATGAAAGGTCTTGCAAAATTCTTCCTGGGAGATCTCTAAGTTCCTTGATACTGCACCCTTCCTCTGTGGTTTCCTGGAGAAGGAAACAACCAGCTGAGTCATACATGTTTTCACCATCATCATTAGTAAACTCTCCCCAGCCCACAAAAAAGCATGTTATAATCGCCATAAACAAACATTTATAAATCACCTCCTATGAACCCTGCTCTGAGGATATATGTAAATATATATAAAAGAGTAAAACACAGTTCCTGCCCTCAACTAAGCATGATCATATGTAAAAGATAAACATCAATGTGAGGCAGTACACACTGAAAACCAAGTGAGAGGTAACAGCAGTACCTGCCACAGAGGCAGGACTATAGTGTAATCAAGTGGGCTTAAGAAAGATCATCCTGGAAAAACAGAAAAGGATGAATTTTTAAAGAAGGAAACAGAGTCGGTAAGACTAGATGGGTACCATTGAGAAAGTCAAGTGTGAGGGGTCTAAACTAAAGTTTGGCAATGGGGAGATGTAAGAGATCCTTTGAAAGGATATTTCTGAAAGCAATGGAAAACTAAATGCAGGAATTGGGGACAGGAATCAAAGATGACTGGGGTTTCAAGCCAAAGTGAGTTGGCAGTATTTATTACAGTAACAAATACAGAGAAGCTGATTACAAGGAGAGGTGGGGAGGATGATAATGCTGGCTTTGGACTGAGGATTAATGCTGAAGTATTAACAAGTTATCCAGGTGAAAAGAATCTGTGAAGCAGTTAGAACTCAAGTCCTGGAGTTTCAGAGGGATGTGAGACTTGCAATAGAGATTTGAGAGTTGGCTTTATAACGGTGAAGCTGTGGGTCACATTAACCTTTGTGAAACTGTGCACAAACTTGAAATTGCTTGTAAGTGATTAAGTACACATTATTTTATAAGTTTATATTTTGAAGACTAAATGTAATAATGCAATAATGCAAGAAAAAGAAATATAAGGTACAACATTTTCAGCTGACTAATATAGGGGACTAATACAGCTGACTAATATAATCCATTACCAGCATAATCCCAGAAGACATTTATTATAGAAATTAACAAAATATTCTAAAATTTATATAGAAATACAAAGAGCCTAAAATGTTAAAAAAAAACAAAAACAAAAACAAATCTGGAACATTTATAACTACTTGACCTCAAGGTAAGATAATATAGTTTTAATGATACCATAATGTTATAATTAAATAATACCATAATATAAAACAATTGTAATAGAGACATGTGGTATCAGCATAAGGACAAATAGATAAATAGACCAGAATAGAAAATTCAGAAACAGATCTCCATTTCTGCAGTCAATTGGTTTTAGACAGAAGTACCAGAACAATTCAATGGAAAAAGACGTCTTTTTAATGAATGGTGCTGGCTGGAACAACTGGATCTCTATATGGAAAAAATATACCATGCACATACTATACACAAAATTTAGTATAAATTCATACCATACACAAAAATTAGTAAATTTGTGCAAAAATTGTATGAGGTGGGACATAGCCCTAATTGTAAAAGTTAAAGCTATAAAGCTTATTTGAAGGAAATACAAGACAATATCTTTGCAACCTGGGATAAGCAAACATTTCTTAGGTCACAGAAGATAATACCATAAAACTAAAAAGTTCGTTAAGTAGACTTCATTAAACCAAAATACTCCTGTTCATCAAATAACACTGATGAGAAAATGAATAGGCAAACCTCAAACTGAGAGAAAATACTTTTAGAATCTATATCTTACACAGAACTCATAGCCAAGATCTATAGGAAACTCTTACAGTTCAGTAATAAGATAAACAATCTATTTAAAAATAGGCAAAAAAAACTTAGACATTGCACGAAGAAAAAATATATACAAATGGCCAAAGAACACAAAGTGCTCAATGTCATTAGTCATCAGGGAAATGTAAAGTAAAACCATGAGATACCACTACATCTTCAATAAAATTGCTAAAATTAAAAAGACAGGCAATACCAATTTTTGCAAGGATGTGGAGCAACCAGAACCGTCAGGAACTGCTGGTGGGAATGTAAAATGGTACAACTGCTTTGGAAAAATATTTGGCAGGTTATTATAAAGTTAAACATACACCTCCCTTTGGTCCAAAATTCCACTCTCAAGGATTTATCTAGGAGAAATAAAAATATGTGTTCATAAAAAGACTTGCACAAAAATATTCACAACAACTTTATTCACAATAACCTAAAACTCGAACCCAATCAAAAGTTCATCAATAAGAAAATGAAATGGAAAAGCAAATTTATATAATGAAATATTACTCAGCAAGAAGCAGGAATGAACTACTGATATGTGTAGCAGCATGAATGAATCTAACAGACATGCTAAACTCAAAAAAGAATGAATTATATGAATATTTAGAGCATCCATTTATATG